CATTACATGTAAACGAGGCCTAAAACAGGGAACCCGAACACTACACCTCCCTTACAGGTTACATGCAGGAAACTAAATGTAAACAAACTGAGTTCGAGTACAAACTAATGTGACCAYGTTCCGTAAGTGGTCCTGAGAAAACAACAAGTTMAAAAGCTAAACAGTCAAAGTCAGTTTATGCTCTATTCAGCAATAAGTCTTTGTGGAGGACGCACAGTACGACCGGAACGGGTYAAGACGTTTCCATCAACAGAAGGAAGTTGCGCTGTTTCAGCTTTCAGTGTAGACTTTGGTGGAGGAGAAGGTGGGACTTCTGCAACCGTTTCCTTGGGCAGCGAGTTGAGATGTCTCCGGTTTCGTCGAACCTCACCACTTGGGGTTGAGACGATGTAASTCCTTTCACCGAACTCCTTTTGAACTGTGGCTGTAGTTTTCATTTGAGGAAGGTACACTTGATCGCCTTCCGCCAAAGGAGTAAGATCCTTGACTCTATGACGCGAGTCATAGTTCTCCTTCTGWCGTTGTTTAAGTTCAWAGTCCTTCTTGWGAAGACTTTCATGTACTACCACCGAAGGTTTTAGCTTGCATGGATGCACTGGTACTGTCGTGCGTAGATTACGAGACATAAGAAGTTGTGCAGGACTATACCCTTGTTCTAACGGTGTTGAACGGTATGCCAATAAAGCTAGGTGTGGGTCAGCACACTTTTCAAACAGACTTTTCACAGTCTGAACAGCACGTTCAGCTTCTCCGTTGGCTTGCGCGTAACGGGGGCTACTTGTGACATGAGTAAATCCGTAGTCCTTTGCAAAGTTTACAAAGTCCTTGGATGCATAATTAGGTCCGTTATCAGTGACGAGCTTCTCTGGAATGCCGAAGCGACTGAATATGGTTTTCAGGTTTGCGATGATACTTTGWGAAGTAGTGCAGGTCAGTTGAGACACTTCTATGTAGCGGGAGTAATAGTCTATCACTAGTAGGTAAGTCTTTCCTTTCCAGAAGAGTTGATCTGAGGCTACTTTTTGCCATGGGTAGTCTGGTAGCTCTGATGCAATCATGGGCTCGACATGGTTTTTTCTGAACTTTCTGCAAACGGGACACTCGYTCACAAGCTCTTCAAGCTGTCGGCCAATCCCAGGCCACCATACACTTTCTCTAGCTCGGACACGACATTTGACTATGCCTTGGTGACCAGCGTGTAACTTGTCTAACATGTCCATCCGCATTGAAGCTGGAATGACAAGTCGACTTCCTCTGAGTAKCAATCCATTATGAACTGTAAGTTCAGCTGCAAAGGGGGCATACAGCTTTACTGGACCTTTAAGGGAGCTCTTTTCTGGCCATCCCTTTTCACAGAAAGACATAATTTGTTTGCAGATCTCATCCTCTTGTAGATGGATTCTTATTTCCTCTAAGCGTTTCCCAGTTGCAGGTAGGCTCTGAAAGACATAATTGATATACAAATTTGTCTCCGCTTCCAAGTTGCTGTCTTGCGTCGTTGGCTGAGACATTGGAGCTCTTGATAGAGTGTCTGCACAGTTCAGTTCTTTACCCGGTACATGGACAATGCTGAAACTGTACTTCATCAGACGCATTCTAAAGCGTTGAATGCGAGGAGGTAAGCAATCTAGATCCTTCTTGGAGCTTAAGAGGTAGATCAAAGGCTTGTGATCCGTCTGTACCTCAAAGGTTTTCCCGAGCAAGTAGTTGTTGAAACGTTCGCACGCCCAAGTCGTAGCAAGTGCTTCTTTTTCAATTTGGGCGTATCTTTGTTCACACGCGGTTAGGGATCTCGATTGATAAGCCACGGGTCTCCAGTTCTGATCTTTCTGCTTTTGTAAGAGGACGGCACCCAAGCCATATGAAGATGCATCGGCTGAGACTCTGGTTTCCGCTTCTAGATCGTAGTGAGCTAGTACCACTTCTTCACTGCAGAGAAGTTTCTTGAGAGCGTTGAATGCTTCTTTCTGAGGGCTTTCCCATACCCAGGAATTCTTTGAGCTTAATAGATCTCTCAAAGGCTTTGAGACTTCGGCTATTTTATCAGAAAACTTTCCGAGCTGATTCGTCATTCCTAGGAACCGCCTTAGCTCCGTCACATTGGTAGGATCTTCCATGTCGCGGATTGCCTTTACCTTTTCAGGGTCCGGACGTATACCAGACGCATCTACCACATGACCAAGGAATGTTAAGCTTGTCTTCGAGTACTCACACTTCTCAGCATTGAGGGTGATTTTKGCTTCCTCAAGTTTTCTCAACACTTTTTCAAGACGYTCGTCGTGCTCCACTTGATTTCTCCCAAAGACGAGTGTGTCGTCAATCATATTGACTGTCCCTTCTACTCCAGCAAGTACAGACTGCATTCTCTTTTGAAAATACTCTGGTGCAGAGGTTATTCCGAACGGTAGCCTATTATAGCAAAACCGCCCGAATGGCGTGATGAATGTTGTCAACAGCGCTGATTCCGGTGCAAGCTCAATTTGATAGAAGCCAGAGTTAGCATCTAACTTTGAAAAGACTGCAGCACCACTTAACTGAGAGAGCACGTCGTCGACCGATGGGAGCATCAGTCGTTCACGTTTAACTTGCATGTTGAGTTGGGTCAGGTCAACACAGACTCTAACATCGCCGTTGTTTTTTGGAACAGTTACAATAGGCGCACACCAATCTGTGGGTTGATCTACCTTCGATATAACACCTTGTTGTTCTAGTTCCTCAAGCTTATGTTTAACTTTAGGTAAGAGTGGCTTCGCGATTCGTCGTGGTGTGTTCACAGCATAAGGTACAGCGTTATCCTTTAATTCAATTTTGTATTGACCATCGAGTTTTCCTAAGCCTTTGAATAGCTTTGGATGTCTTGCATGTACAGACTCTTTGTATGACTCTTCCACAGAGTGTATAACTTTGACGAGTTGCAGAGCTTCTATGGCAGGTCTACCAAGCAATGGATACTTCAAATTCTTGACAACGAAGATTTCTTGTTTAGTTTCGAGGTGATTAGCTTTCAATGTAGCAGAGAGTGATCCACTGACGTTGAGCTTAGAACCGTCAGGTCCTGTCAATGTCCTCTTTGCTTGACAAAGAGTGGTATTTAGCTTAAGCTTTGGCAGAATAGAGTCGGGTACCACAGAGACATCAGCTCCRGTGTCCAGTTTGAACGCAATGTTATTGCCATTAACAGAGATATTCGTCTTCCAGGGGTCTACATGTACAGTATCAACTTCTCCAGCGCTCAGAGCACCGAGAAAGAAATCATCACTGTCATCGTCATCCCCTACGACTGCATTTACTTTTCCACTAAGGCATACAGCTTGGAAGTGACCTTTCTTTTTGCACTTTCGGCACGTTGCTTCTTTTGCCGGACACTGTGTTCTTTTGTGGGCTGGACTTTTTCCACATCGTTTGCACACATCATTGGTTGGATTATTTGGGATTGCTGGTTGTTTACCTGCTTTTCCATGCAGATTTTGGCCGTGATGTTGAGGTTTCTGTGTCTTAGACCTGTGAATTCTGTCTACTTTTGCAGGTTGACTTGCATCATCTTGACCTCTGAYTACTGATTGTTGGCTTTTCACAGACTCACTCTGTCTTACACTGTTAATGGCTTTTTCTAAGGTTAGGTCTGCATCCAACTGGAGCTTTTCTGAGAGCTTTTKGTCAACTAGACCCACCACAATACGGTCGCGTATCATTTCATCGTGTAGCAAACCAAACTGACAATGTTCAGCAAGGCCATATAAATCAGTGATAAAAGAATCAACAGGCTCACCGTTTTCTTGTTTACGTCGGTTAAACTTCGCGCGTTCGTAGATTATATTTCTTTTCTTTACGAAATAGCCATCAAACTTGCCTTTAACTGCGTTATATTTCTTTGAGTCGTCGGTTGAGAGTCCAAATGTCGCCAGTATATCATCACTTTTGCTTCCCATAGAATACAGGAGCGTGTTTACTTGGCTTTCCTCATCTCTTTTACTCAAACCAGATGCAGAACGAAAGCGCTCGAATCTCTTGATCCATTTGACCCACTCGTTTGGCTTTGAAAAGTCGAATTCCTCTGGGGGAGTAATTTGGTATGAAACAGGATTAATCATCGGTGGCGTTGCTCCACTATTTTCACTCGATGGTGTAGGCATCCTTGGTTCACTTTGTACTCAAATAATCTGTTCCCGRGGTTTATCGATACTTAAAATCCCRSTTCTGACACCATGTGTTGTTCGATGGCTAAATGGTCAAGAGAATAGACTGGATTAAGATTGGCACTGAACTCTTTAATCCGCCATGTTTGATAACACACTTC